ATGTTTTCTTATGTAATCTTGATACTGAAATGTCTTCATGGAAGCCATTAGAACAGTGGTTCTCAACCTTCTGGGCCTTTAAATACAATTCCTCATGTTGTGACCCAACCATAAAATTACTTTCGTTGCTACTTCATAACTGTAATTTTGCTACTGTTATGAATCGTAATGTAAATATCTGATATGCAGGATGGTCTTAGGCGACCCCTGTGAAAGGGTCATTCGACCGCCAAAGGGGTTGCGACCCACAGGTTGAGAACCACTGTTTTAGAGGGTGAAGCCACACCCATTCAAGGAGGTCAGCTGTATAACACCCAGTGCCAGGCAGCAGTCCACCTCGCTGAATGGTGTCTCTTAGCGTTTTTATTATCAGTAACATTATCAAGTAATGAATGGCCCTGGAGGCTCAGATAGGTTAGAGTAGACAATGCCAAATAACTTGTGGTGGGGCCAGGAGGTGAGCCTAGTCCTTTTTAGTTAAATACGATTCTCATTCGGAGAGAAGAAGAACGATAAGTAATCTGCTTCTTCCCTTGCAGAGGGGTACCCACGGTCCATTTCCTGCCCTTTGTCTCCCATTCCTGCCTAGAGTAAAAGGGGCCTCTTCTTAAGAGCCTTGAGATGGTTCTGCTTTAGTACACTGACTTCTTGTTGTTTGGGGAGCATTCACACTGTGGCTGTTTCCAGCGCTACACAGACGTGTCCATGCAAACAAACTATCAGTGCCCTTCTTGCTCCTTTTCGTTTACTTTTTACCTATGTCATGATTTTATTTTTTTCAATTACCATTTACATTCAGTATTTTTTGCATTGGTTTCGGGTCTACAGCATAGTGGTTAGACAGTCATATACTTTATTAAGTGATCCCCCTGATATTTCCGGTATCCACCTGGCACCGTACATAGTTATTACAATATCCTTGATTATCTTTCCTATGCTGTAACTGGCCATTTGTAGTTCTTAATCCTTTCACCTTTTCCACCCAGCCTCCCAACCCCCCCAAACCTGGCAACTGGCAAAATGTTCTCTGTATCTATGAGTCTGTTTCAATTTTCTTTGTTTGGTTGCTTGGTTTGTTATGCCCAGATTTCAGGATCCCCAAGAGACCATACCAGGGAGCCAGCCGAGTCTGATGCAAAAGCAGACTCTTTTATTCAAACCCGGATTTGGCTCCCCTACCCTCCTTACCGACACAGCAGCAAGTGGCAAAGAGAGGACTAGCCCGGTGGGAAGAGGAGTTTTATAGGGGGGTGGAGTAAGGGGAGGAGAGGGGACTGTGGGCCCTGCCGATTTGCCAGGCGCAAGTCGGTGTCTCGTTACACAGGATGTGGTCATATCTATGGCGTGCACTCACCTTGATTGTCATTGGTTAGTTTAGAGAAATCCTGGGTGTGGCTAGCAGAGGCTTGGGCTTCCGGGAAGAAGCACTGCCGAGCACGTGGCTGCCCAAAAATGGAGGATCTAGGGTAAAATGGAGCACGTAGTCATCGCCCTTTCAGGTTCTTTAGTTAAATGCACATTAAAGCCACAGTGAGATACCACTTCACACCTATCAGACTGTTGCTCCTTTTTGGATATTCACTCGTCAGGGGTTGTGCTCTTACAGCCCAGAGTTCAGCCTCACACTTTTCCTTCCAGGTACTCCTCCCTGATGGTCTATAAGTTGCCTGTTGAGGATGTGAGACCTTTATCGCAGGCTTTCTTCAAATTAGAGATCGGTAAGAGCAACTATTTAGAGGTAAGACTCTGGGAAACAGCCCTAACCAGTTTGGCTCAGTGGATAGAGCATAGGACTGAAGGGTCCCAGGTTTGATTCCAGTCAGAAGCACATACCCAGGTTGTGGGCTTGATCCCGAGTAGGGGGCATGCAAGAGGCAAGCGATGATTCTCTCATTGATGTTTCTGCCTCTCTCTCCCCGCTCCCTTTCTATCTGAAATCAATAAAAATATATATTTTTTAAAAGACTCTGGGAAACAGACACATTCAAAGCTGAACACCTCCCTTCAGGCTTGTCTATTTATTTTTTATTTTTGCCTGTCCTCAGTCATTAGAACCCTCCCTCAGGCATCCTCGTTCTTGAAAAGATCCTTCCCCTGGAGTTAAGCTTAGGATGGCCCCAGACAGGGCTTCTTTCCACCTTCTGATTCTGCTGTTCCCTTCACTCTGTGGTCCATTTACCACACTGACCATTTTGGCCTTTTGACCAATTTTGCAGCATTCCAGTGGGAAGGATTCCCACAATGGGGTCTGATCAACAGGAAGGATTTTATAATTAATTAGAAGCAGGGAGAGAGATATTCCAAGAAAGCTGCCTCCCTGGAATATAATGGAGCTTTTTCTTAAGGGCCTTCCTGTGTTTCTGCTTTCAAAAATGTCCCCTCCCTCCTCAAATGCCTTCTGAGCTTAGTTTGCTGAAATGGAAGTCCTGACATAGGGGGTAAAAACAACTTTTTGTCAGTTTCCTATCCTGTTATGTGAAGATTACACAAAGTACAAGATACCGAAATGTCCTAAGCTAGTGTTTTTTCTCTCCAAATGTTAAGTTAGCCATGGTTACATTCTCAGCAGCAATGCATGTATTGAAATTCCAAGTACAGTGGGCCTTGACTTATGAGTGTCCCGACTAACGAGGTTTTGGAGATATGAGCCATCTCTCCGCCGATTTTTTGCTTTGAGTTGCGAGCTAAAATTCCAGTTAGGAGCCAGCTTCAGAAACCCCACTGCTAGCTGGCGCAGCAAACTTCACAATGAACACCACACTGATTAATGCCATTTCAATTCATTGTAATGGTGAAAATTGATTTGACATACGAGTAATTTGAGTTACAAGCTCCATCATGGAATGAATTAAACTCATAAGTCAAGGCCCCACTGTAGCTTGGAAGCAAAAGGCATGCCCCATTGTTAGTTCTTTACCTTGCTACATAGAGTCATTCTTGCATACAATCAGATTGCTTTGGGCTAATGCAAATTCCAGCAAGGAGCAGGAGCTGGAGGACTGTGCTGAGGAAGTTGATCTCTCTGTGAGGTGGAAGCTCCTCCAGCAGGAAGAGCCCTAAAGCCCCAAATACCCTGCATTGCCCTTTAGGCCTGTGCCTCTTCTTAAGTTAACATTTTATAGCATGTGATACCTTATCTCAGACGCGGATAAGGTACTTTTGAAATGAACGTTATGATTTTTTTCTCAATAATATCACTTACGGTGGAACTAAAGAAGCCAGGCCATGCAGCCTCTGGACCAGCAGCCAAATTCCTTATTTCATGCAACAGCAAACACAAAGAATACATTTATTACATTATTGTTTATGTTTATGAGGATGGTGCAGGGATTGCTTAATTTTTTTCTCTAAATTTTAAAATATGGGATTTTTAAAATCTTTTTTATTACAACACAAATTGAGATGATGCTGATTATAGGGGAAAGGGAGTCAGTTGATTACATGGCAGTACAGTCTTTGCTTTTTGTAATTCACTTTTATTCTCTTTTTTTACTTAATTCACTGATTTTCCTTTCCTGGAATTTTTATGATTTTAGATTTTAGAGTCTGTGTTTTGCCTATTGTAACTATTAAGGAAATTTGAAACCCATTAAGATAAATAATTGCAGTAAAATATTGAGTAATCAAGTTGATGAAAATATACATACATTTACATAAAAATTTGAAAAATATTTTCGATTTTATGTTGTCTTTTGATGCCAGGATCCACCCTGATGCAAACCATTAGAACTTGATAGATCTTAATTTCCCATGCCTGTACCTGTTGTGATTTATTCAACTGATAATTCCATAAACACCTTAAAATCAACAGGATATACTTATACACTCATATGAGGTTTTATTGTTGTTGTTGTTGCTACTTTCATAGTTGCTAAATCACTGAGTTTATGGTAATTTTTTATGCAGCAATTAAAGTGTGATGCAGGTATATAAATAAAGTCATATTTAGAGAAGTTGACCTTCCCAAAGTCATAGGTCTCAGGACCCAGAATTCAAACCCAGGAGTCTGTCTGATGCCATCTACTTTAAGATATCACCAAGCAGTTATTAAACACCTGACTGAGGTTGCAATGAAGGTATAAAGAACATTCCTTCAACTTGAAGTTTTGGTTACCTTTCAGGAAGAGAATCTGAAGAACACAATAGACACTGTATAATCAGCTTCTAATTGTTATGGTATCAACTAAAACAGTGATGGCAAACCTATGACACGCGTGTCAAAGGTGACATAGAAACTCATTTTTTTGTTGATTTTTCTTTGTTAAATGGCATTTAAATATATATAATAAATATCAAAAATATAAGTCTTTGTTTTACTATGGTTGAAAATATCAAAAAATTTCTATATGTGACACGGTACCAGAGTTAAGTTAGGGGTTTTCAAAATGCTGACATGCTGAGCTCAAAAGGTTTGCCATCACTGAACTAGAATGATACAAGGATTTGAAGATAAACACTATTTTTCAGCTTAAACATAGCCAATTATGGTGGTAAATTCAGATGACCCAGTTGTGAACAACAGAAATGTAAAACCTTGATGCTGAAGGATATTTTTGTGCCCATTAAGAAAGGTAATTGCAGTTCATTTTCAAGAGAGTCACAGAGATGGATTATGTTGTTTGAATGGTACCGAGATCAGTTGGAGATAAAATGCAATTGCCTCTTTTGTTGAATCATATTGAAATCAGGTGGGGCAATGTTTCTCCTCTGGTGCAGCTTCTTTACTGAGAATCTGGGGGTAAAGACAGCCCACTTCATTTTCTATGTCGTTTAGGTAGAGACCGGCTGATGCTCACCAATCCCATTCTCCCTCTGAACAGACAGGAAGACTTCATTGTCCAGGCTCCCTTACCTCTACTCTGGGAACATCTGTCTAGCCCTGAAATACAGAATATGGGCAGAAACAATGTATGCCACTCAGAGGCCATTACCTAACTTTCCTGCTAGATCATTTGTGAAGTTTCTCTTTCTCATATATGGGTCAGAAATAAGGGACTCTGAGATGCAGAGACCACAATGGAAAGTACTCAAGCCCCTGAGTCACCATGCGGAGGTGAGCGGCCTAGAAGAGCCAGCTGGCCTGCATGGGACAGAGACATGAAATACACACATCCACACATACACACTCCAAAACAAAACCAACATGAACCACTGCAAGACACTCGTTGAACTACTGACATTATTGAGACCGGGGGGTTGTTACAACAGGCAGCTAACATTACAATGACTAATAGAGTCGATCATGACAAGAAAGGGGTGGGATTAAAACCTGAACAGGGCACTGATGAAATTGCCAAGGACA